CCAACAATATAAACTGCTTATTTCTACAACCCGTTTTCTATTAATTTTCTTCACTGTTGGCTCTGTAAATAAATATGTACACGTAACTGACACACAACTGCATTCATTTGTCCAAACAAACTAATCCATTCATGATTTCTGTGCTGCAATCATTAACCTTTTTTCTCACACACACATTTTAAGTAACTTTTATCAACATTTTAAGACTCAGTATATTACACGTACATGTGCATGTGACTACATGATATAGTCACATCACATTTTGTGGCACATAATTAAGCACAAAACTGAGCAAAAATACTGAGACACGAGCTACTAAACCTGGGATGTTACTTCAGGTTTTTTTCTGGTTTGCAACAGAAGCGAGAATAATTTAGTATTCATGGAATTGGTGACGCGTGAAAGATTAAGCGTAACCATAAAAGAGCTGAAAAAGGGTTGTCACCTATGCCACAAAATAAAAGAAATATTAGAATAGTACCAGCAAATGAGACAGACAAATAAAAAAATTCAATTAACTCCGTTGATTAGATTTGGAATCCTTTGAGGTGAAGATCTTTGTTTTGGAATGGGCAGAGACAGGAAAAAAAAACAAAAACAAAAAAAAAATGGCAGTTTAGAACCACTTGAAAATTACAAGGGTCTGCTCAGGGAAATGAGGGACGCGCACAGCGAGTGGTGTTTAGGACTAGCAGTGATCCTGTTTCCATGGCTATTTAAGTGGAAAATGGCTCTGGATAAGAGATGGGTTGTTTTGTTCCTGGCCTGCGGGATGCCAAACGGGGCACAACATTAGTTCTGCTGGTGGCCTGGCAGTATCGGTTTTGGGGGGGGGATGAATGGGAAGGGGGATTTGGGGCCATATTATTAGGCTCTGAAGCTGGCGAGGGAAACTTGGTGTGAAAGATGGAGAACGACGCGAATAAATGTTTGTTCTTAACGCTTGAACGAGGAGCATGAAAGGTGAAGTAATGGTGCAAGGGAAATCCGACAAAGGGCTGCCTCAGTGGAAGGCCAATGAGGAGAAATAATAATCGATTCAGAGAACAAGTGCAAAAAGGGGTACATGTTCATGTCTCATTGTTTGAAAAATCTGACAGTTTTTTCTAGTTTGCATATTAAAATAATCACAGGTCTAGTTTGATTTCCAATGTGATTCCTTTGGATAAGATTGTTTGGTTTTCAACAACATGGAAATCTACCAGACTTCAAAGCATGTGCAGTTGAGTGCAGATATGTACCAATCTGTCTTTTTGCTTGTCTATCACACCTCTATTAATTCAAAGTTGTTTTATTTGCATATACATGTTAGCCTGTGTGAAATTACTTGAATAATTTTGTTGAATATTTATGAGATAGCACCTGGGATTGTCCCTGTGTGTCAGGTACATGACACTTATTTTAATTTCACATATTTCACTTTGTACAACATCTCTTCCACTCCAGCTTACCAAAAATGACCCCGTACGTTTGATCAATCCAACATCAAGTTGAGGGTAACTGTTCTTGTGGCAATCTATCACATTTAATGTCACAAGATACAAGTGCCGTCGTTGAGTTGTAACTCAAGCAGTACAACGGTGGTTACGGTTATACTGTTATTACTCTGGGCAAAGGTTTACCCCAAAAGGAGGGAAAAAAAGCCCAGTGTGTTCTAAAATTACTCAGCCATCACCAAAGATGCAAGATTCATCCACAGATACATGTACATGTATTTGCTGCTGACAATTTCTTATAGTATGGTGCTCATACGTGAATGTTATTCCTTTAGAAGAGCAAATTCACTTAGATGAAAAGAAAGAGACCAACTGAAGCACTCACTAGAGGGCGGCATTGAAAATACACAGTGCTTGGGCACCAGATGCAAACGCCCCCATGACCTACTGGTTCTGATGAAATGGTCGCGGTGAGATGCCACAATGCGATAGAATGGTGTGTCAGTGACGATAAGTCATCTCCAGCTGAAGGGATGGAGTAAATTCAGCATGGATTTCTTCTCCATTTCCGACGTGTGTGCTTCTTGGGGCAATACTGTCAGTAGTTTTGTTTCGGAATCTGTTTTGGAAAGATATCTCTGTTTTGATGTTTCACGCGGTTTGGTGTCCTGATAGGAAATGGGCAACAGTTCGCAACACGTAGGTGAAAGTGTTGAGGGTTTCTACTCATTCTCGTTGTGCAAGATTCCTCCAAAGGTCTTTAACTGAAAAGTTGCTCTGACAACTTGTGACTCTTGTGACATAATTATGTATTTGCAATATGCAAACTTCTCAAAACTTCTCAAAACGACAAAATAAAGTTGCTCTTCTGGACATTGCTGAATGCAGTACTTACACTGTACAAGACCCGGTGCTAACCACTTAACCTTTTTGGCATTCCTTGCTAAATCTACCCAGGCATGTAGGCAAAGAAGAAAAACCATGAAACTGGTGCGCTTGTCCCCTTGTGTATTCCAGGCCTTCAAACTGGCTAATCTCTCAGGATTCAACAACATCGTGCACACACACCTGGCTCTCTTCATCAGGGGGACAGGGTTCGGGAAAAACTAATTCCCTTGTAACAAGGGGACATTATGCAGTGACTGTGCATACGACTGATCCCAGTGATCATTATATCAGCCATAGTCATTGGGGGAATTCTGGAGCGAATACGCAGCAGCGACTGTCAAAATATTGACACAGGAATTATATACATTCACGCCAAGTCACAAAATGGGATGGAACATGTATGCATCTTTCGCAATGCCACTTCCATTAATCTCCAGCAAACAAAGGCCATCTGGCTACTAACTTACACCCAAGTTGAAACTGGAGACATTTCAGCTACAGAGGGCAGTAGATATCACCACTACTCAGAACCATGTGTAGAGAGAGTTGTGACATGAGTGACTCAATTGTTGGCACCAAAATGGTGGATTATGCGTCAGTGCACGTGGACAATTATGGTAACACACAATAGCTGCATGCTGCACTGCACATATAATGCATAGCCACTTTGGTTCTGAAGTCTGAAGTCGGTGCTACATGTATACAGCTCTGCCACTAATGAGATTCAGAGAGATTCCAGAGTTACCAACAGAGGGCAGCATTATAAATTAATGGTCCACAGTTCCAGTGGTACTATACCTAAGCAATACATGGACTGCAAGGTAGGTACAGTGTAAGTTACTACGGTATTATGATAGAACCCACTCTCATGGCTGAGGTTTGCCGTTCTCCCCTTTCTTTCAAAATACGGGTATGTATATCATTTAAGCTTTGAGCTTATGACATATACCAGTACATAAGTCTCCAAGAGGAAACTGACCACATATGCAATGTTTCCACAAAGACGGTGAAGTTATATTCAAGCCTACCATAATAAGTTCATGCATTAAATGTACATTCATAAATACCTCAGACAGTTTCCCTATTCAACAACACACAATGTGACCGTGTATTAATATTTGATAATGCCTGCTGTGGTTCGATAATGCCTGCTGCGGTTTGATAATGCCTGCTGCGGTTTGATAATGCCTGCTGCGGTTTGATAATGCCTGCTGCGGTTTGACAATGCCTGCTTCATAGTAACGTGTTGGCACCTGGATATGAGACAGTCTTATCCATTCCTACAAGTCATGAGTCTGTGTGCACCGCAGCACGCGGCATGCAGAACTCGAGACCTGCAGCCGCGGCTCGGGCATTAGTCGGGTCCATTCTCCTGAGCCAGTCCTAAACACACGTTTAAGACTGGCCAAGCACACCCTCAAAAAGTCACAGTAAGAACCCAACGTGCCGACTCACAATCTCCCTGCAGTTCAAACCAAGCCTTTCTCTAAAGCCAGGACATGTCAAGATAGCCCACTACCCTCACTGTGGATTGCAAACTAAGAGTAGATCAGCAAAAACTGCCCTCTATAGACCAATCTGAGCAGGTGCTCTCAGCACCAGGGTTCTAGCCGCGGTGGGCAGCGCCGGGCGGCGCCACCCGGTACTGCAAATTTCCGCCCGGCACTCGGGGTTGAAATTGGCTGTGCCACCCAGCACGGATTTTCCAAAAAATGAACGGAAATATTACTGAAAATCTAATGTACCAATTGGATCGTATTCAAGCATCAGAAAGCATTAAGAACTGCGCTCACTGTGCTTTGTAATCCAAAAATTTACCCGGCACTAAAATGGTCCTAGCTAGAACACTGCTCAGCACCACACTCCCACACATCTCTCACGTTCTTAAACTTGGCGCAGGCCTGCGGCATGCAACACACAAGTTAACAACCTACGTACATATATGTATGAACGAGCACAGTACATGTGTTCCCCAGAGTACTGGTTTCCAATAATGACCACAGGAATGATCACAGACACATACAGTAGATAAACCTGTAAGACCTCTGTGCATTATGACTACACCCGATAAAAGTTACATCACAAGAGTATTTTTGCAGTGTCTTCCTTTCATGTGTATACATGTAGCACGTCCAAAGTTATCGAATCATATGCTCAAATCACAAATTTACCATTTTTCAATCATACTAGGGGTCTATGTGAAATTACACAGGGCCGCACTGCTGTGGCTGAAATAGTGAAAGGTCGCGTGATCGGATCAGGACATGAACCCGAGATATTTGGTTTGCCTTTTTGTTTTTGTGGGGCTGCAATTATTCTGCACACCATATTCCTTCAGCACCGATGTACCCAAAGCACATGAACATCTTTTAAGGGTGTGCATTCGTTATGTCGGTGATCGGCTGTGAGCACTATTCAAAATTTTGAGGCTTGATATTTGGCGAGACAACTGGTGCATGGTTATTGTCAGAGTGCACTCACGCTGCTCTCAAGAGTGAGCAGCAAAGCGCCCTCGACGGTCCTTGAGATGAGACCCGCTGGTTGGGCCATCAATTCCCTTACAGCGGAGTGAGGTGGGAATCAAGTTGGCTGCACACCAGGATGGCACTCCACAGGTCCCGGGTTCGAGTCCCTCTTCAATCATGCCGTATTGAGAAAGGACAAATTCCGACTCACCCCAATGCAGATGCGGTCTTGTTGCTCTCAGCTGCTGGCCTTGGTAAGTTCCAAGTCTTCCTTCAATTTGGACTTTTTCAGCCTTTTCTTCTGACCGCCTGACCGATAGAAATAATCCAATGTCAACAACTTACTAGCGGAGGCAGCGTTTCAATGTTTGTTTTTTTATCCTGCTGTATGGGACATTGCCAGGGTGGGCTCTAGGGCTGTCAAAATTGAAGAAGTGTCACAAGAGTGACATTTTTGCCAGCATCCAAAGAAAAGTTTTCATGAGCATTTATGTATCCAACTACAACTAAAAATCTGAACCAGCCTTAAAATGTAAATCACAATTCACCAAAACCACTTTTGAGTTGAATCTTGTGCAATCTAATTACATGTGAAAGGAACCCTTGACTTTTTACCCGCATGACGTCCATGTTCATTAGGATGCCAACAAAGTGACACATCAAAACAAAGAGATGAGATTTTATTCTTTCTAATGCAAACTGTGGGAGGGTTTAAAAAATAAGTCTTATGACTCATTTTGTGAATCTAGTCACAAATTTTAATATGCCTGAAATCAGGGCCCAATTTCACGGCGCTGTTTACCGTAAGAAACCTTTTACTAACCATAGCACAAACATTTGCTTAACGGCAAGCATAATTGATGGTGAACTTTTTAACAGTTACTGGGCTTCCATTGTTTCATCAAGAAATTAAGCAAACTTTTCCTCCAATGTCGGCATGCCTTTTGCTATGCTTACAGTCTCCATGACATAAGCAGAGCTACATCAACATACACCCTAATCATTGAAACAAGTTGGCCTTAAACGATGAAGTGAGAAAGTGCATTAAGCTGTCCTAAGCAATGCAAAAATAACACTAGAAGATGCAGTGCCGAGTCACCAAGCATGGAGCCACCAGGCACCTGCAATGAAACAACCAGCACGGAGAAAGCTTCTCATGCTGCAACACAGTGATTTGTGAAACATGCCATGGACAATACATGGAAGTATTGGTAAACCTGACACAATGCACTGGGTATCCAGTACAAGACCAGGCACCTCCATCTCAGCTCACTGAAACAGGTGTGTGTTCAAAGTACAAAAGACAGGGACAATCCATTCACAAACTGGGGGTGAATGTGCATATAAAAGCTTAATTACTATACAACCTCCTAGCTTGGTAAAAATTTGGAACAGCTCTGAGACAGTGAAAGAATTCAAGGTTGTGTTGAAAAGACAGCCAGTACAAGGCATTAAGTTGACAACCACAGAGAATTTAGCACATGTCTTGGTCATTTCCAGGAACTCTCTTTTATTTGTTTTTATTTCTTTTAGTGGAGGGGTCAGATACATTAAGAGATACTATGCAATACCCCTGAGAACCATTCGTAAAGAAAGTTGGGATGCATTCATTGTTCTATGAGGTTTAAAGGCATTGTCTGATTTCACACCGGAAAGTTCTTAATTCAGGTAATGCCAGAAAATTAGCGCTTCACTTTGAAAATTGACTTTTATATTAAATTTTGCAATACCTTGACAATTTGAATGCTCACCTTCAATGAAGTGATCCGCTGTCTTCCTACGCAGGTCTTCCACAGTCTCCTCTGCCTCCGCCCACTCCAGGACAAGCCGACGCCCATAGAGATGGCTGCTGTGGCACAGAGCATCAAACGCCCTCTGTTGACCAAAAGTGAGGAGGTGTAAAATTCACAGGAATGAAAGGAAATGCATCTCTCGTCCTCTGATTCAATAGTTACAGAGGACTATTCACATTTCATTACCAAGCAAAAGAATTGCACTATTAGGAAAATGCAGACTGACTTGTAAGGATTTCCATGGGTACCCATGGGCATCGTACACCCCTGGAAAAAAAATTGAAGGAAAAAAAATGGAGAAACAAAAAGGGAGGAAAGGAGATGAAAAATCACTAATTTGTTTGGAAATATCTTGGAACTGGCCCAAATCAACCATTAATGGTTTATCAATTTGCTGCTAAGTGCCCACCCCCCAGAAAAGTCCTGCCCTCTCAAAAGAAAGTCCCGGTGATGCCCATGGCCCGCTGCAAGTTTTGAATCCCGCAATAACCATCATGCAACACGTATGGTGCCAACTGCTGAAGGTTTTTTGCTCTTACTAATCAAAAGTTTAATTCGTCTCAGGGCAGAAAACACAGTAGATTGTCATCCCCTGTTGTCCTCCATTTTTAAGAACGGTCCTCAAACGTATGAATGTCTGCATAGTCTATGGGCGAGTGTCATATCAACCTTGACAAAATTTCATTCAATTTTAATTTATTTCAAGGGATATCAATCCTATGCTCTCCACGGAGTTTGCAGTGTAATGATTTTAACGAGGCAAAATAAATGAATATGAAATAGCTTAAACTTTAACAAGTTCCTGAAATAAATAACAGCATATAGTGAGGATAACGCTCTGAGCTTATACTACAGTGCTGAAGGGCGTCAGACTCTTATACAAGCAAAAGCGTGTGAGAGGAACAGCCGGGGCATGCGTCCATTATGGAAACATTAACAAAACAAAAGAAAACACAAAGCTACGTCCTCCGACGTACAGAGTTTTTATTATGGGGCAGCCATCTTGGTTTTCTACCACTAAAAGCAATGTGGCCAAACTGAGGCCGTGTCCGAAAAGGGGCTTCCAGAGCTACGGCTAGGTCAATTGTCTACGCGTCTCCACGCATTTACAATGGAGCGAAGTCCTAGACCCAGCCCTAGACAAGAGATTCGGATGCGGCCTGAGGCTGGAAGAAAAAAATAGTCAGTTTCCTTTTATCAATAGGTAAAGTTGTACTCCTTTTGTCATTTGGCGTACAGGGGTCAGACAAAAATGGCAGCATTACGATAGAGGTCTACAGTACTGTACAACATAGCACTCTGTTACCTCGACCGGTAAAGTGTTGTGAGGCAGATTTTTATTGTTAGACAAATTTGGAACCAGTTGTTGGGAGTTTTGATGGTCTCTCCACATTCTTTGTATTCCAAACAACTATGGAACACGTTTTCTGGTAATTTAGGGGGGCAGGGTAGCCATGCTGGTCCTTTGGCTGAATGTCTCAGGCCGTGTCCGAAACGGGCTTCCAGAGCTACGGCTAGGTCCACTGTCCACGCGTCTCCATGCATTTTCAATGGAGTGAAGACCTAGACCTAGCTCTAGACAAGAGATCTGGATGCAGCCTCAGACACACCTTGGCGTCTTGCTTGCTGAGGAAGTCGACGAATCCAAAGCCTCGATGAGAGCCAGTACCACTCATCTTCTTGGGTAGTCTGACTGACTTGATCTCACCAAATGTACTGAAGAAAAAAAAAGACGGGCAGAATATGAACCAGGGACAAGTTCAGATGAACCTGGGAGCCTGTTGTACCCAAAATCATAAATCTCGTAGTATTTACGGTCACACCTCAAGGTGGACGACAAAATAATGGAAGTGATACCAAACAATTGTGAGAATAAAAGAGGTAAATGCAATAAACAAAATTGATTTCTGAAGATGTGCACAGAGCAAGCTTCAATTCACATTGGACAAATATTGTCTTGTATTGTAAAAAATGTGCAAGATGGCTGTGATCAACATAAGAAAAAAACTCTTTGGGGTCAGTCCCCGTACTAAAGGATTTGGTGATACTGAAGGTCTGGCAAGAGGTAAAAGAGATTTCTGAAATAGAACCAGGACTAGAAATACAAATAATGCAATGGATGTTTCTATCAAACGTACCCAAATAGCTCCTGTATCTCCTGTTTCCTAGCTTCAAATGGAATATTCCGGATCAGGATTTTACTGGACTTCTGTTTTGTGGTCCCTGGTCTCTTCGGAGTTGATGTTTGATTTGCCCTGAGGAGGATAAATAAAGGTTGCGTCTAGTTCTCTGAAATTCTTGTAAGCGGCTTACTGACCATGGTGATGAGGCTAAATGTCCCTAAGCAAGACATTTTGCTGCAATGTTTCACCTTTGCTTGTTTGAATAACCTTCCCTACTTACAAATTATTCCCAAGTTAAAGATATGAGCAGGACATGAGCGGGATATGTTCTTGTTCTTGGCTCATTCCTTGATGAGAAATCTGACCTCTGTGTGACAAAACTTCACAAAATGAGTCCCAATCTGTCAGAACCACATTTGAACTGAGGGCATCTTTCACACTGAATCAGAATCAATTGGAACCCTCAACCTAATGTCCATTTTCACCTGGATACTAAATTGATTGATACACCAAATTAATAGCCCAGTTTACTCTCTGCAATGGAAACTAAACCGACCGACCGACTGACCGACCAACCGACCAACCAACTAGAAAAAAGTGGCCTTGAGACACATTTTATGAGATCTGGCCATAATATATCATACACATGTGACCTGCTCTGTCAAAAGGAGTCATATGGCCCATTTTTCAGTGTTTTTTTAATGTTTCAGTTTGAATCAGAAAGAACCACTCCAGCTTCCTGTGTTGAAAGATCTCTCAGTTTGGCATCTGGATGAAACCAGACATTGTGTGGGTGAAAAATGTTGAGGGTTCCTATTTATGCACTGCACAAGATTGCTTTTAAAGGCCTATGGCTCTGGCAACTTATGACTCATTTTGAGAAGGCGGGTCACACATTTGAAAATGGGCCATGCCTTCCGAGATCCTGAAATCATACCGATTACTATGTGAGCCATTGATTCTGTCTTCCCTCCTAGCCCTAAAGTATGAAGAATGCATTGCCTTTTCTCATGTACTTGGGTGAGTTGATCAGCATCAGAGGTAGGAAAGACATGTGACAGGATGGCCATTTTCACGCTCTTTATGGAACGAGAATTTTCACTAAAACGTCTTTCCTCTGATTTTGGCTTTGTCTCCGTCTCTGGTTTCATGTTGGGCAAAGCAATCAATTTTAAACATTCACTGAGGTAAACAAATGATAATTCTTCACACCATGGCTTCATAGCAAACAAATGCACATTTCAGTAAAATGACAACTGAGCTTAAGCCCTGAGTTTAATAAGGGTCTAAAACTCGAAGGCCGAAATCACAGACACAAAGCTAAGATTTAGAAAAACTTCCCTGTGTATTCCTGGCTACAAGGTGTCCAGCGTCTAATTAAGCTACCTGTCCACCTGACCTGATGACAGGCCAAAATTACTCAGGTCAGGCCATTTAGCTTTACATAAGTTACAACCCCCTATTTATTTCACAAATCTTCAACACTGGCGAGTAACTCTTTATGACCTCATTCAAGGCATTTAGCAACATTGACATTGACATGTATGGCCTCACATTGCAGCGAGGGGGCACAGTTTCAAAGGGTTCGCCAGGAGTGGACAGACAATATTTAACACTGCCTGAGAAAGGCCGAGAAGGTACTTTAATCCTAGATGAAATCCTGATGGTGCCATCTGCAGACCATGCAGGCCAACAATACGTACTGCACCGTTGCTCTGTGTGACAGCTTGAGCTCTAGGCTATGATCGTCCAGCATGCTGTGCTGCAATTCCTTCAGAGCCTTCTGGGCTGATTTCCTCTTCTTGTATTCCACAAAACCGTAGCCCATGGACAACAAAGATCCTGGAAGAAAAGAAAAAGGACACCGGCCAGCCCAAGCTATTAAACTGACATGGTAAAGGAAAGCAGTAATTAGGAATTAACCAATTTGGGATTTCAAACAAGTCAACGTCATTTAGGAACAGGGTACCTGACGTCACACAACCCCTTAAACATAATCGGTGCATGAGTTGGCATCTGCCATGGTGATGGAACGGCTCACACGGGTGCCTAAAGGTTGCCTTGAATGAACAGCAACATGTGCATGCCCTCCTGGAACACCAAACTGACTTATTGCCAATGACAGTTTGTTTCTGCGTGACGAGCAAGAAACATTTGATCATCGGAGATCAACAAGACATTTGCAGACACAGCAAACCACAGTTTGGAAACTTTGTCTACTCAACCAGAAGTGTTTTTCCTTGTCAATATGTATTTCTGAAGATTATGACATATGAAAATGCAACTTGTCTTCCATTCCCTCTGATAAACCACAACCCATGAATACGGCACAGTAGAAATGGATGCGGCAGGATTGTGAGGAAATTCTCATTTTTAGATACAAGAGGAAAATTGTGAAGAAAAAAGCCACAGAGAAAACTGACCGAAGTAGGACTTACCTGACATTGATCGACAAGCTTTTTTTAAAACGATAGAACCTGGCCTAAATGTGGACACCCAAGCAATTCCGTAAACACAGAGTGATGAAACACACACAGACTGACAAACAGGCTGATTAGAAACGAGTGACCAATAATCTGACATCTACCTGTATGTTTGGGATCCTTCTTGCGTGATATTGTCACAGACTTCAGACGTCCACACGGAGAAAACAACTGAAAATAAACACAGGTTGATCACTGTTTGTTTTCATTTTCAATATCTGAATGATCGCTGACTGCTCTTTAGCTGTCGTCGCAAACACCGCAACCTTGGCCGCGATCCCTGATTACGCAGCACGTACAGGTGTTATGGCTCCAACTCCAACACACAAAGCTGGAGATGGCTGAAGTCGAGACCGAACTACTCAGTTGGTGTACTGAGTTTATACTCTTCTTGGCCATGCCAAAAAAACAAAAACAAAACAGAGCACAACAACCCAGGAAAATTAGTACCTTTCTTAAGGAGTCCTCTGTTGTTTGAAAGTTGAGATTCTTGACAAAGATGGTTGATTCTGGTTCCGTTTCTTCCTCGTCATCACTGGCGTCCTCTTCAGTGACAGAAAACGAAAAGGTTCCAGAACTTATCTATCACAAGTTTTGTTAACCTACTAGGCTAGTTGACGACTGGAGAACCATAAATATCAGGAAGGCAAACAATCCATGTGAAACACGGGACCCAAAAATACAACATGGAGCCCGGGAGGCACCGGTGGAAAACGGCACTCACCGGTCCTCTTGTCTGTTGTAGCTGACTGGTCGGATTCTGAGCTTCCTTTGCTTGCTGCTGGTGTGTGTTCCTCACTTTGCCTGTCGCCCTGTTTGTGGTCTGGTGTGGATTCTGATGAGGGCTCGCCCTTGAACACGTTGACTGGTGCCCACTCCAGGTAGAGAGGGACATGGTGAAACTAGGGGGCGGGGCAGAGGAGAAATGAAATAGAAATCTGACCAATCAGCTATCTTGTTACAATATTTACGAATTCAATAATTGGATTGTTTCATCAAGATGTATAACCTTAAGTTTATTAATCTAGATTTTAAACTCAATAACCAATCAACTTTGTCATCTACTGACTGGGATCACTTAGTGCACATACATGAAAATCATTAAGTATTACCTATCAACATGGGTTAATATCTGAAACCTACAGAAAGTATATCAAGAACTCTAAGCTCTGCAGTGGAAAGCATGGAAACAACGCACTGGGTGATAAAACTGGACAGCCACCGCAGATGGTAATCTTCTGAAAACGTCAACTTGTTCTGAAGAGACGCTACATTATTTTCGTCACAATTTTGAGGTATGGAGACTTGTAAAGTTTGTTGAGCTGTTTGTACTTTGGACACTGACAACGGAAAGTATCGCCAATAAAGAAACTGATGAGACATCAGGGCTCAGTGTCCACGGACCTTTGTGTATGCCAGCTTGAAGAAAGCCTTCCTGGCCTCGGTGGGCTCTATGAACTCGACGATGGCGGTCACGCCAGCTGGTGGTAAGACCACCCTCCCCAGGCCGCCGTGACTAGCAAACAGGTCTCTGATCTCCAAGGCTTCGGTTCCAGCTGGGAGATTCTTGACCAGAATGACCGTCTTGCTCCTTAAACCAGACGGCTGGGGAGAAAAAAAAAAGATTTGCAGAAGTGCAAAGTACAGAAGATGTAACTTGGCTGAGGCTTGCAACAACAAACTGCAACTAACCACTGGCTTCCATAGGTTTATACAGCCAAGCCACAGCCACATCCACGTTATTCAGACCTAAGACTCAATAATGATTCTAACCATCCTTAACCACTTGCTGCCGGGTAGTTTGAAAAATGCAGTGCACATAATCGGGATTTTTTCAAGATTTTCAGTTTTCAAAATTCTTCAAAAATTCATCATTTCAATTAATGGATGTTTACTCCCACATGAATTACGGTCTGGTGGCCACTCTAGTCTGAGAGACAAAATCTATTGACGCCTGAGTATTTCAGCCAGGCCTGCACCCTTGTAAAAAGAGCCCAGATTGTGCGGTGTTGTGTAACTTTCTTTTGCTCACAAACCTGGCACAGTGCGCTGCTGACCTCTTTTCAATAGGGGCCAGATTAGGTGCTGTGTGGCTCATCGCTGCGGTGGTGGAGCCCTTTTGTCCCCGGTGGTAATCCGCTCACGCTAAATGCCCAAAACCGCAGTATACTGTTTCAAAACAAGGCTGGATTTTCTCCACTATTGAGAGTGAAAAAATGTCAGTAATGCCCGGCAGCCTGGTCTTTTGTTCCGAGAATGGTCTTTTGTTACAAGGCCCAGTTCCCTTTGTTCGATTTCAAAGACCATGGCCACGCGTATAAACACACGGTGCCCGAAACCGGGCTCCCTGGTTGGAAGCGGTTAATCAAACATGCGCAGAAAGGGTAAAATTACTTTCAAGATCCCAAACTCCTTCAATGAACGGGCTAACTTCCCTCATGTCAGTTTTACAACTCCCTCCATTTCTTAATGACCAAACTGAAGGGACTGAATTTTCTTACGACAGTGACACCCCAAACACCTCCATGCAGGCTAAGATACCGACAATTCTTGGCTGTGGAAAACATTGTTCTAAAGAAAACAACATTTCATTTCTAACCATTAAGCATGGCCATGGGGACCCAATTTCAGTCATATTTCCCAAAGTAGTGTATTTATTTGAAAACATTAAATTCAAAGAACCAGACTATATTCCACGATTTCATTCCGACCCCCAAACTCACCTGGTACTATCGCATTAAGGGTTTCAAATTTACACTGTACATTCAGGAATATGACTGAAATGGGGGATGTCGCGAATACGGTCTATTCGACCCGGGTTTTGAAGTACACTTATTTGATAAAATTGGGGCATGCACCGAATTCAAACGTTTAAAAATTTTCTACTTTAAAATACACAAACTAAAATTTATTCGGCGACGTTTTCCACTAAACTGATCGAAACATGTCCTTGCTGAGGCAAGTTTGAGAGGATGCATCTCAACAAAAGTAACTGTGGAATAAAGGTAGCATTCACTTCCTGCTTGTGTCTAGTTTCTTTTGCGCCTTCAACAAAAAGCCAACACCGTCAATGAATAAAGAAATAAACCTGCATAATTCATGCCCTTTGGCTTTCGAAAATCTTTAGGAGGGCAACTTGGTGTTTATTTCCTCCAGGCTGGCATCGATTTGCAGAGGTGGTGAAGCTTACCTGGCTGAATGAGTCCAATGCTACACCGTGATCCAGGAGAAACTGTCTCGTCTCAGCAACAATTTGTGTCTCGCCAAGAGCCATCCTGACTCCCAGACTCCGTCCCGTCTCCTTGCGTCAGAAAGAGCATAAATGACAACAAACACATCCTGAATTCAAGACCTTGGACAAGAGAAATTGTTAGCACTGAACCTCAAGCCCAGAAATTAACGGCATACATTTACAACAGGTGTTTTTATTGGAAAAGTATTTTTAATCAGTCAACAGAAATGGCCTTCACATTTACATCATAAACAACAGGGACTAGTAGAATGAACATACTCAGTGGCTAAAAATGCTTTCAAGATGTTTAAAAATGAAAGAAGTGGACACTTACAGCATCCAGGACTTGGCTTTTGGTCGTCTGGTATTTCTGAGCAATGGCTTCCGCCACGGCATCCGATCCGATGAACAGAGAATTCCAGTTGTGAGAGCTGAATGGTCAAACACCAAACAAGCCTGTCATAATCAACACTGAACAACACATGAATTGAATCGTGTAAGAAAGACGTTTAGGAAGACATTCACCATACCCACCAATTTCTAACTTCCACAAACCTTCTTGAATCTACCAAAGTCCACATCTCTTCAGGAAACCAATGCTACAGTGGTATGGCACAATCTTTCCACTTACACTCTCACGGGGCATCAAGCTCAATGAAGAGTAACAATGGCTGAACTCCACCTTCCTAAATCCTGCAAAATCCCCCAAAACCCACCAATGTGCAGGAAACCATTGGTACAATGGCGAGTTCTTCGTACTTCAACTTTCAAGGGGCACCAGACTGTATTGTAAAGTATTGGTGACTAAGCTCTACCTGTCCTAAGACCTGGCAAACCATGTAAACCCTTCTGGTGGATTTTGAAGGATCTTGAAGTATTAGGTCAAAAGAATAATTCTTAATCAGAACAGATCCAGATCCTCCAAAATCTCACTTCGAAATCTCTCAAAGGACTGAGGCTAAGCGGCTAAAAATTACACCGATTTGATAGGACGCACTGTGTCACGGTCTTGGGGCAGAACTTATGATGTTTATGGTCAGTCATGCAAAACATATGTCTCGATTATACTAGTAGGGTGGAGTCGATTCGAATAATTTAATATTTGAATATTCGGCCTTCAATTTGAACAAATATCTGAATACTCGGTCGCACCAACCGGCATATTGTTGATGAACAAACCATACACAAAATCAGTTGCAACAGCGCACACAATTGTACATTATGATCAATCTCCAGTCACAATTTAGCATGATTGAAGAGATGAACAAGACTCCTTGCCCTGTTGAAAATTTCTGTTCTTTCAAATTGTTGAATGAATAATTTACTGTTTAAATCGTTGTAAGATATCTGATGCTTTTCACTTGAATCTGCTTGAAACAAGCCTCCATGGTGCAATTTTTCTTGTTCAAAAACAAAAGAAAAGTTTCCCTTCCTTTTCATGAATTTTGCATTGGAACATTCAAAGTCGAAAAATAATATTTGAATATTTGACAATCGATCGAATATTTGGTTATTAGAATATTCAGCAAAGCCCCATATATGAGAAATTATCAGTTCCAGGATATCATTGGCACTACCTCAACGAACTGACAGTTGTAGCAAAAAGACTTTGTAGGATTTAGGCAAGGGTCATGCCCTTTAAGGGATACATTTGAGAAGTGACAGAGGATCCAAACTTTCCACGGAGGCAGTTGGAGGATTTTGTATGATTGAGGATGCATCCAAGCAAAATGGTCTTTGGCTGGGGGGGGGTCGGGGTGTAAGGTTGGGTTTAATGTACCTTCCACTTCTTGCTTTGTCCTTGGCCTTCTTCTGGTTCTTGTAAGATGAGCCTTCTCCCTCTCTGCCTTCCGCCTCCGACGTCTTCTTCTCCTTGCCGGGCAGGATGTGAAGCAGACGCCCCTGCAGGATTGCGGCAAGATATGATGAAATGGAGTCTGGGGTCTAGACATGGCTAGTGGTTTACAAGAGTATCAATTCAAAAATGCCTCCTTAACCCTCCTTTGGTTTTACAGCACAAATGTGCACAAATGCCCACAGCCACCGGTGAGCATGTAGTTTCTATATGGAACTCAAACATGCACAGGTTCAGTGTGTACACAGTT